AAGGTACATTGATAAACGACTTTTGAAGCTTTCCAAATATTTTATAGGTTTGATGCATTTTTGTTTTGAACAATTTTTTTTTCAAAATCAAGGACTATCGGAGAAATTTGAAAAGTGAAGCTAATTCTAAGAGAGTTCAAAAAGACTTGTACTAAACAAATGTTTACTTTGTGGTCAAACTTATCTCAAAACTCTGAAATATATATTTTGACGATTAGCTAAATTTACACATGCAAAGACGGCAGGTTCGGAATCTTAGAGATTTCCTCAGCAATCACAATCAAAATTACTTCGATGAAATGACTGCTAAAAAGTGAAGGAAAAACTGCGTATAAATACAGTTTGAGGTACTTGTCAGTAATTACTCTACCCGTTTGTGGAAAGGTCAAAGTGAAAAGTGAAAAGTTCTCATTACTTTTGACTCAACCTAGTATTTCATGAGTAAGGTCAGTGATTATGTAAAAAAATAGTAGATGGGAAAACTATCAGAGTCTAAAATAGTATATATCTGAAAAAATATGTAGTTTATACGGCTTTCATAGAAACCACATTCAAATGAAAATTTGCTACTTACCCCCATAATGAGAATGTTGAGAAAGCGATCAAGGCTCGTCCTCTTCATTTTCGTCTTTCCTGAGTTCATCATCAACTTCGTGTCCTTGCCAGCGAAGATCACCAAACCATAACACCTAAATAAGGGCAATGTAACTCAAAGTTCTACGGCTTTTACGGTTTCTTATTTCTTGAACTCAGTATCGACGAAAGTCTCATTAATTTGAGATTTGCCATGGTAATGAGGTGTCAAGGCACAAGATAATGGCGGACTTCGTATATGATACAAATCCCCAATAGAGACGTCATAATCTTTATTTCTATCGTGCTTCGTCTTTCTTGAGATTTTGCAATTACAGAAATTACTCTCCATATGCTCATAATTTCATAGTAAACAAAGAAGATGCAAAAAAAGACTGAAATGAATGTAATTTAATCATTTTCAAACACAAAGAAATGTACCATCGCGTATTCTTCAGAATGCATCCACGAAGCAAGATGTTCTCGTTGATGATGGGATATTCTTTTCCTTGCCAGATGAGCTTTCCTTGAAATCGGTTCAGATTGTTATTTGGCGCTTCACACACAATTTCTCCTAGACAAGTAAAGTATAGACTTTGCCCAGACAGGTCAGAGTAACATAGAGTCTTACCCTGGAACTTGCTGATGTCATCGAGATTATCGCCCATCTCTGCTGTTTCTGCCAAGGCAACCCTCGTCTTCAAATTCGTCTCCCCGTCCAGCTCCGCCGTCTCGACGTAACAGAGCCCATGAGGTTCTGATGTTGACAGCAGCAACAGATCAGCCTGAATTCATGCAAAATTTCAATAACGAGTTTTTTGAGTGATTTGGATTCATTATGAACTTATCATGGAATTTCACACAAAATTTCTGAGTTATCCACAAATTTTGTAAGTTTAACTTAAATCTGATAAATTTTATTTAAAATCACCGTTTGCTTTGATCATAAGTTTCATCAGATGCTTAAGAAATTGCCTAAGTCAAAAACTCTGCCAGAAATTTAAGATTATTCGCAAATCAGATCCCTATCGGAGCAAACCACTGAGGCAATTCTTGCCCTGATAATTACGTCGCTATAGCATAAACAGAAACTTGTGGAATTTCATGATATACAGTGACCGCCAAAAAGTTGCGGACAAGCCT